AAAAAAGGTTTTGAGTGTTAACCCAAAACGAAAATTGGGATCAAAACTCATACAAAAGTCTAGTTTTTGGCCCTTTTTGCCATTATGGCTCATTATTGAAAAAAAATCCTCTTAATATTTAAATTAACATCAAGAATATGGGTTAATTGATCAAGCCTTAACAGCCATTCTCAATCACATGCGCCGCTCTAGCAATTGTTTCTGTAGAGATGACAAAGCTTTTGGTGKACGTCAATCAAGGCATTTCCATGACATTCTATAGGCACGTGTCCATATAGCTTTGTGTTTTCCAACAATGTTATGGAAACGCCTTCTTTGTCGCCAACAGAAACATTCACTATAGGGTGAGTGTGATTGAGAATGGCTATAAACCACCTTTCTTCTCACCTTCGGACTGTGAATGAAGCACCAGAATGTTGACCATCTCAGCATAATTAACAGTTTCTGGTGACTTCTTAATTTCACGTAAGATCTCCCCAAGCAACGCTTCACACCTGTCATCCACATCAAAAAAGGAAAATGTTTCCAGTATCAACAAGCATTACCTTTTTTACAATAACAGAGCATAATCGGATTGACTGACACCTATGACCAATGAGAGGACCATCACATACTGTAGTATGCGGTTTTTTTGCTTTTAGATGTGTTTTTTCTTCATTGTAATCATAGATGATGTTTTAAAATGTTCAAAACTACTGCACTCATGATTCCGCTTGAGTTCTGAACATTTTGAGATGTCGTCTATGATCAATAAGAGGTTTGTTAAATTACAGAAATCATGTATTTTTTTGGCAAAATAGAGCTACTAGTGAATCAATATTTTACTGTTTGGTGTTTAACATCAATAAAATTATAAAGTTGGTTGTTATTATTATTGATATTACATACATTTTTCTTATCTCTCCACTGCGATCCTTAAATATCGCAAATAATCCATCTAAAAATTCAGGCAGATGGCCTATCAAGTCCAGGTCAGGGACTGAAGCAAGAACCATAAGCTAAACAACAAAGAAGAGTGCAATAGAAAATTAGAGAGAGATAAATGGTGGCATATTGATTCCATAGACTAACCTACAATCAAAATAATATTCATAACAGAAATGGGAATTAACAGGTGACTCCACAGAGTGGCTCTTCTTCCACTGGATTCCAATGGGAATTTAGAAGTTGATTTTTACAGCTGGAGGAAAACCAATTACCAAAAACCCTCCAATTACGAGAGAGAACCAACAAGCAACTCTGACTCAMATATGACAGCAAGTCTGGAGAGTCTCAAACCCGGGTCACATTGGTGAGAGGCAAGCAATCTCACTGCTGTGACACCCATGCTTGCTAAATTTGCAATATTACAGTGTCGTTTACTACAGTGTACCACTACTAGAATACCTTGCACATTTTCTTTCCTTTGGTTCAGTTTTTAGCACCAATGGGCCTTTTGCACTTACAGTATAAATTATGTGACCCATGCATGTCTCATGAGGATTCATATAGGGGTTTTTAATATGATAGCTGTATGTGCAAATCCTTATGAAATACTCAACATACATGTATCTATTTTTATTTCTTCTGTGTTGTGTTTCATTCACTGAAACTTTGCCTTCTTACTAATATCTACATGCTCTTTGCAATTCTGGCTTTCATTTTGACACAACGTCTTGTTTTACACGGAGTAGGGTCATAAGACCTACTACTGCAAAGGGTCTATAGACCCCTTGCATGTGACGTCAAAGCAGCTYAATTTAGAGGACAAAACAAAAGAATTTCGATCTCGTGAGAATTGAAAACCTATTGTTATGTCCTCCAAATAGACCCCTTGCATGTGATGTCAAAGCAGCTCAATTTGGAGGACAAAACAAAAGAATTTCAATCTCCTGAGAATTGGAAACCTATTGTTATGCCCTCCAAATTAAGCTGCATTCCGATGTGCTGCAAGTAGGGGTCTATTGTCTTACCATTCTCATGAGGTGAAAATATGTAACTAAGAATTATGTAATAAAGATAACAACTAATTAAAAGAGCAAACATCCACTAATATTAATAATAATAATAATATTACCCAAGACACCAGAAACTGCTTTGCATAAGGATTTTTTGTATAGATCCTTTCTCTTAGCAACGGCATGAAAGATATCAAATCAAATGATGAGCTCTCTGTCACAATGTCCTGTTAAAAAACAAATCATYAACAAATTTAGTGTCCTCAGCCTCTTATACAGAGCTTTCAATAAAAGGCGGCTACCGGCTGTTCATCGAGGGATACTTCACCTCAAACTGCAAGCTATTTTGACAAAAAATTAATTSARCRCAAATAAAGTTATATACAAACACCAGTGGCTTCAGCTCCCTACTTTTTAGGACCAATCTACCTACTACAAATATTATTGAAAGCTCTGCTTATATATACCTCTTAAAAAAGAAATGTTTTGCTTTGTTTTTAGGATAATAGGTGTTTTCTTGGGGGGGAGGCAAGGGTGGATTCGGGGGGGGGGGGCAAAGGGGGGCTGAAGTCCCCCCTTCAGCAGAAAAAAACCATGCTTTTTTATGATGTTTTCCGTTGTGTTGACGGAAGAAACTCGATCAGCCCCCCTAAACTTAATTAGCCTCCCTCAAAAAAAATTTTGGCCGGATCCGCTCTTGGGAGGGGTGGGRAGAGCAAACCAATTAGACAACCAATAACAAGTTTCCAATCTAGTAAGAGTTCCCCTCCTTTAATAAAATAGTAAACTATGAAAAACTAACAAAATAAGACAAGTGACTTACCTTCACTAGYCTGTCCAGTAGCTCTGCACCATTCTTGACATTAGGATCTGGATCTGCCGCAAGCTGTTTATCATGAAACAATAAATATGTATATGCTTTTATCTTAAGAAATTTATTTTACTGCAATTCTTATGGGAACTCAGACAATCAACAGCTTGTTTTCACTGCCGTTAATTAAAAATAATCAGTTTTGGCACCTTTTACATTTTAGATTGGCAGCAGTGAAAAGCCAAATTCAAACGGGCAACATGCAACTACAGAGTTTACATAATATTGAGGATTGGCTTTTTACAAAAAACAGTCATGTGGTGATATATCACTTTAATATTGAATCAATTCAGCCAAAGGTCCCTTGGGGAAGGGCTCTGCTGGATGTCAAACAAACTTTAAAATGCTTCATATATTGAAATCAAAAGCATCTCATAAGAAGAAAATAAAGTAGAGTCAACTCTCCCCTTGCAGACACCCTAGTGTTATTGACACCTTGCTATTGCGGACAGGAGAAAAATCCCCGGCCAAAAATACTGACTCAGAAATGACCAAAAATTAACTCTCCCTATTGCGGGCACTYGCTATTATACAGACACTAAGTGATGGGTCCGCTGTAACAAGAGTTGACTGTACTTTGAAAAAGGTTTTGGATATGACATTTGTAATCCAGCAAAAGTTATTTGAATAAGAAAAGACTAAATGTTTTTGGCATGCATCCAGTAATAGTCATGTGATTATTTCCTGCAAATGCCCTATTCCAGTAATAACCTTTCTTGCCATTTCATAAGCTGAATTGACTTCATAAATATGACCATAGCACTACAGGCTGAGAACCTGTGAAAATCCTGTGAAAAATATCTCTGTATTTTGGAAATTTCACAGGTTTTTCACAGGTTCTGGAACCTGTGAAAGTGTTCCTTTTCACAGGTCTGGATGTTTGAAAATCCTGYGAAAATCCTGTGAAATTTCTAAAATACATAGATATTTTTCACAGGTTTTTCACAGAATTTCCACAGGTTCTGGAACCTGTGAAAGTGTTCCTTTTCACAGGTCTGGATGTTTGAAAATCCTGCGAAAATCCTGTGAAAAACCTGTGAAATTTCCAAAATACGGAGATATTTTTCACAGGTTCTCAGCCAGTAGTGATAGAGTGACCACATATGCCTACTAACCTTACTCAAGCCATCGAATACGTCATTGAARTAAGGAATAACGGATCCTCTTGCAACTTTTGCAATGTTATATAGTGCTTCACAGGCATAATAACGCACACGACTGTCTTGGTCAAAGAAGCAGGACAGTACAGGTGGTATAAGTTCTTTGAGGTATAGTCCCGCATCCTATCAATGAAACAACACTATAGTGAATATACACACAGAATTATATCATAACACATGCCACCATGTTTCACAAGATTATCAAATAAGCTCATGTCATTTTTTCCATGCAAGCTCTGATTTGAATGTTCATAGGAAAAAATTAAACAGTTGTTTGTGTCAATTTGGGCAGCTTGTTATTTTATAAAATGTGTAGTTCCAGGATCCAGGATCAAAACACTTGGGATCCTGAGAAAGCACATGAGAAGATGGAAACCACTGTTCTTTGCAAATACCACTTTGCGTCGACGTGGTGTTCTACGCTTCTCTCATTTTCTCTCAGCATCAAGTGTATTTATCAGAGTATCAAACAGGGGAAACTGTTATATATTTCTTCATTAAGTTTAAGCTGGTGATATTGTTTACAGGAATCAGTTCTTTAAGCTGGAAAGAGTGTAAAACCTTAACAAAGACAGATATGTTAACAGGCGTAGATACAAGAATTTTGAATAAGAGAGAGAGAGATCTGAACCGAGGTTGTCTTAACAAAATAGTATCAGGGAAACAATGACGACTAAGAGTAGAGCAAAAGCAGTGTTCTTTGTGGGTTATATAGATTGTTTAAGTTGTGACATATATCCGTGTCCAACTGCTCACAACAATGGCTAAACTAAAAGTGAAAAAATGTTCTCAATGATTTAGACTCCACTTGAAAGAATTAGAACTTTCTTTCTGTCATGAAGAAAAAGTAAGAAATACTTTATAGAACTGCTTTTGGTTTGAGACCTGGAAGTGATATAATTGATGTTGAACCTAAAAGCTTTATTCCATTGCAAAATGGAGTATATAGATTTTTGGTTGAGTGTGGCATATATCATCCTCTTTCATTAGGTCCAAAATCAAAAGGAATTGGTCCTTATTTTTACTTCATTGCAAGATATATTTGTCATTATTCTAAATATTATGAGATAACTTTTTAAAAAAGTTTAGCAGCGTCTTTGTCTCAATTAATCCACAAATTTSCCAAGACATCAAAGGTCCCATAAAGAATCAGGATGTTTGTTCTTGTTTTACTGACAGTATGCTGTCCTTCTTTCATTATTATTATCTTCTCTTCAGCTTTGGAGTGAATTTGGTCTAACTGTTGAATAGTTAACGCTACCTAAATTAATATATGTTATTTACCGGCCAGGAGGTCGAGATAGGGAAAAGCTGTGCACGAGGTCTTGAATATACAGACCGAGGCTGTTATGCTGAGGTCTGTTATCAAGACCGAGGGCACAGTTTTTACCTTCCCAAGTTATTTACTATCTTAGTTGACGTCACAACTTGAAATTTCATGTGCCAACAGTCTGAAAATCAGGGAGAAAATGAAGATATACATGTAATTGTCAGTCTCTTCACACGTTCTCTGGTTAGATAAACCCCAAGATTCGCAGTACCATTGGTTTGGCAYGTATTTACTATTTTAGGTGACGTCAACTAAATAGTTATCTAAGTTATATAAACTTATCTAACTATTCAACAGYGTGACTAAATGCACTCTAACTTATATCTCTGACCTWAAATCTTACATATTCGAATATTAAATTTTAATTTTATATTAATTTAAGAGAAATAAAAACCTGACTGAATGGACCTTAAAAAAGATTACCAAATTTTACAGCCACCTGTTCGCCAAGTAATTTTTGTACATTTTCAAAAGAAATCTTAAGAGTTTGAATTAAGAATCAATATGTTTATTGCTTTTGATCAACAACGAGGTAATTATTACATTTTTGGACTTCATAACATCACAATAACGAAAAAGAAAACAAAAAACAGACGTCATGGGTCAAACACGAGGCAGTTATTCATAAGGAATAATAATCATCATCATATTCACAACACCTGACATATAATTGCCGTACCATCAAAAATACACTCTCATTTAGTTCAATCCAGTGGCCTTTTCTCCCTACCTTGCCTAAGGCGATAGCTGTTGCTGCAAGTCCAATCAATCCCCCTTTTCTTGCATGGCTGTTATGYGATACGGCGAACTCTTCGGCCAGTACGATCGTTAATCTTCTGATCTGCTTCACGTCATTGTTCGCGACAAATTCTTTCACCATACTACGAGAGAAAAGAGAAAGAATCTCGAGATTGAGACACGAAGACATTGAAGTTTACTTGAACATGGTTGAGAAATTTTCTCACTAAAGTTGAAACAACGAAGATAAAAGTCTAAATGTCGAATACAAATACTACATATATGCTTTAGAGAGTTATTTGGTGGCGTTTCGCAGCCTTTAACGGTTTCAAAAGCACGTCAAAAGCATTWGTTCGAAGTGCATGTGTATGTCGAAACACGAACATTAAAAGTGAGTGTCATTCCACTTACCGCTCAACTTCTAGAGCTGCAGTCTTCCGTTTTTCGTAAAGTTTATCATTCAAACCCCTCACAACATTTGGCGTGAGTGGTAGATGGTCCTTCTCCATCGTGAAAGCTTGCGATCGCTAGCATCTGATCATATTTATAAAGGTTTCTAAAGCACAGTTCTTCTGCCCTGCTGAGTCAGTCTTGTGGTGCTTCGTCTCGTGCAGTTTCGCATCCCGCGAAGCCACAGCTTCCGCTCACCCCAGTCTACCACCATCCTAAAAACACAGGAAACCCAAAATAACAATGCAGCATTTTTTTAAACATGAAATCCACAAAGGCATTAAAAAAACTCAAAAATCTAATTTTTAGATCGAGTCAACATTATATCTTATTTTTAATGGAAGTATTAAAAGAAAATTCAGCCTTGCAGCTGCAGCTAAGCTGGACAGGTTTTAACCAGCAGGGTAGCTTGATGCGTCATACTGAGAACTGTTTGACGTGTACGGCACATTCTATGAATAGCTCCCTCCCTTGTAGATTTTCATTATACTTAATCCATATGTCCTGGAGATTTGAATCTATGCAAAAAATATAGCTGCCAGGTGGTTTTTGCATTTTTGTTATTATACAAGTCAGTTCGAAAAAAAAAAAAAAATCTCTCCCCCGGCCCACAGAATGCTCTAGGCCACTGACCCCCAACAGCTCCCATTAAGCTTSGCATATTCTGTAAAGAAATTACCAGAAAATACCTCCTTCAGACACTTTCATCTCTTGAAATTATATTGGCTCTCAGTAGGTTAGTATGGGTATTTTCTCGATCTAAAAGATGTTGTGGGAGGGTTTACGCAAACAGATGGTTGCTTAGATACCTACTTTGAATATGAAAGAAAATCCCATTAAAGTAATAATTTTTTATTTTGTGGTCATTTTTTTGGGAAAATTTATGTGGTTTAGTTCGGTKCTATGCTCATGGCTTAAAGTATTAAGCTTTGTTTTAAACTTCACTTACCACAGGGAAAAAAAACCAGATTCCCAAATTGGGAATTCCCTTGAATTCCCAATTCGAACACCAATGTTGGGATTTATTGTTGGGAATCGCCTTCTAATACCCAACAAAAAACAAAATTCCCAACAAAACTAACATTGGGAATCAGTGCCATGTTCCCAATTTCGTTCTCTCTGTGAATTGGATGGGAATTCATTGTGAATTCAAGGAAATTTCCAACAAATTCCCAATTTGGGAATCTGGTTTTTTCCCCTATATGCTAACATTAATTATATGAATAATATTTGTTGTTTTTAGGGTAACACTTAATAGTTGACCAACACACCTGTGGCCCTAGTTCCATGGTCGATTTTGAACTTAGCTGATTTTTGAGAAGAGAGAAAAACTGAAAAACCTGTAGAAAAACCCTTGAAGCACAGGAGAGAACCATAAAGCAACTACGCTGAGTCCAGGAAGCAAACCCACTCTCAACACTATACCACCCATCTAAGTGTCGATCAATTGACCAATTGACATTTTCCTGTAATAAATCAATAAAATATTCAAATRCCTGTCAAAATTGCTTTTTAACTTAAATATCCCAAGTATTATTGAAAATAAAGAACTAAAAATATGATACAAAGTATAATGTTTAATGAATCTCAAATTATARTATCTAATTTTATACAACAAACTTTATTTTAAGAACATAATTTTTCAAACGATGTCAAAAAATAATATATGGCAACAATTCCTAACATATAAAAGTATAATATAAAAAAGATGCGAAAAAAATGTTGACCAAAGCTTTTTTGACCATAGGATATAGTACAGGATTGATCATAGAGGATATGTTTGGTGTTGCTTCGGCCCTAAAAAAATTTTTCATCAATATATTCAAAATGGTAGACCACAGGGAGCCCAATCTAGATAAAATTGAATGGCAAAAATAAAATCTTGAGTATTTGTACTTATCAATGGCGTTATATACCATAGGGGAATCATATAAGAAAACAAACGCGCACGCAAAATTTAAAATTCTAGTGCATTTTTATACGATTTTTTTCTCTTTCGTATTACGGAGGACATTATCTGAGCCTCGAATTAGGCCTAGGGTGCTGTTTCCCTAATGGTTTGGTCAATATTTTTTTAGCATCTTACTTTTAATCCTACATTTGTACAAATAAAAAAATTYGTAATGTTTAGGGCATGACTCTTAAAACTAAATAAAATATATCGTTAAACATATTTTTATAAACTCTTAAATTATTGATATATACCTTGATAGACTATCTTTAAGATACAAAACTAAASCTAAGATAATGAGAAATTTTTAAAATCCCATGCCAATCTCTTTAGAATTATTACTTGCGTACTACAGATGTCACAAAACTGGGTTTTCACAACTGAAAAAAACATGTCATCATACCTCAAAATATCTACGACTCTGCCGACAAATATCATACTCATGGTCTGCATTCCTTTCTCCAAGTAACAGCCTCCTTTTGATAATTTGTGGGAAAGAAAATTATCAAAGAATGCCRACACCTGGAGAAAGGAATGCAGACTAAAAGTTTCATGTTTGTCAGCAGAGTCGTAGATGTGACCATGACATGTTTTTCTGGTGTAAAAACCCAGTTTGATGACATCTGTAGTTTCAGCTACAAAAATGGCAAGTCCTTCAGAGTCTTAGTCCCAAAGTCTTTACTACTTCTGGCAAATAAGGAAGATTTAAATTTCATAGGAGCCTCACCCCCAAATGTTACGTCAAATTTAACTAAACTTATGTCAATTTCTTTTGCAGGAAGTGGGGTGCAAATCTCTTCTGGATCCAGGGATCTACCCCTGAGGTCTATTTCAGTGTATGTCAACATGGTTTCATCTGATTGAAAGAATTTGTATAAAAAAAGTAAAAATAAAGCGGTATATTTCCCCTCTCCTCAAGAGATATTCCTTGGGATTGTAACTAAAACTGTTTTAAAATAATCTACACCCTAAATTTTAACCTTCCCATAATTGGATTATCATTACCATAATTGATTGCCGAAATCGAAAATGATCCTCAGTATTGCCAATACCCTTGAGACTCGGGACTCTCCCTATGCGCTGAAACTTTAAAAGCAAGTTAATAACATAAGCTTTTTTACTGGAACTGGAAACATTCTTAGAAAAAAAGGTCCCCTAGCACGAGTGACAAGGCTGTTAGTCTCCTAGAAAGGTCTTCACATCCTCAAATCCATTTTCTCTGGCCAAATGGATCATAATACCAGTGCAACGTCTTCCTCGTTTCTTCATGCAGAAACTACAATTGCAGATTCCTCTACACGGGGGGCACATCCAGCTAGGACTCATAATAGCTTTCTTCGCATCCTCCCCATAGCGATTCTTTAAACAAGGTCCGCAGAATTGACCTCTGATCCCTATACACGAGTTACTTTTGCATGTGGTCTTGAGATCGTCCGTCTTCTGTCTGCACTGATGGCAGCTTGTACCGTTTACTGAATCATAGGTCTTGTCAGCTACTCGTTCTGCGACCAAAATTAGGTCTTCTTCACGGACATCCACTGGTGCTCTTGGAGCTGGTTTTCTCAGAAACTTTTTCCGCTTTTTTCTCAGTGACCCGTCTGTGTCGGAGTCAGAATCGCTGAGCTCAGAATCGGAGGAGCAACTCTTTTGTTTTTCAAATAGCTTCTCTGTCAGAGGTCCTCTCCATTTGACAATGAGAGTGTTTGGAGTGTAAATAACCCTCTCTGCATTCTCTTCTTCCTCGTCTGTGCACTTAAATGACCGTGTTTTGCGATCTGGGTTCCTGCGGAGTGGAAAATCTAAGGTCTTTCGTCTCGGTTGTCGTTTCTTTGCGCTCGCGTCTCCACGTGAGGCGATTCTTGGAGTTCCAGTATTTACCGCAAGAGAGGTGCCCTGAGGAAACAGTTTCTTCAACATCGCCTTATTCTCCTCAATCTTTATCCTTCTCACTCTCTCATATTCGCTTTCAGTATCGTTTGGAACCATTTTGAGCTCAAAAATACTCCAATCTTTCGACCCACTAAGTACACAATCCAAGGGACGCCGACTAGTAATGAAATTCCCTTCACGGTCTTTAACTTTGGCGGGAACTTTAACACGTGATCATTCACTCCACGYGATCTAATTATCACGTGATAGCGTTCTTCTTCAGAAAGCGCGCGCTTTTTGGAAATTCCTTCGAGTTTGTTTAGTTTTTACAAATCTTAAATAAATGGCTACTGATATCGACGATGACGAAGTTTTTGAGGTAATTATGATTACTTGTCYCTAATCTAAGTGATGAGTTAGAATTTAGTGCAAATCTTGATTTTTATGATACATGTTTCGATTGTCTATACCTTGTRTTCATTTCTTGTTTATAACTAACAGCTATTGACAAAGTTGGTAAGCTTTTTTGCGAAGATTTTAAACTTAAGAGCTAAGAAATCGCATTATAAACAAATATATAGTCTGTGAATAACTGTCAATACATAAAAAATCCCGATGGGTMATCGCTGTTTGTAAACAACGAATCGAGGTCATGTTGTGAGTTAAAGGAGGGCTAGTTTTTCCCAAGGGTGGGGAGGGWATGAAGTAAAGATGCCTGATATTTTATTTATATTGTGTGATTCCAGGAAAAATGCTTCCAATTAGAATGCACGCCATATATCAGTGAAACGATTACTAGCCACGTATTTAGTTTAACAACAACTATTGTTGAGAATTCACTCAAGCAGGCATAACCAAAACAAAGATGCATAGATTTTGCTCAGTTTCGATTTTTGCTCGTTCCACATTTCCAAAGTTTTTTCCAAACCTCGGTTTCTCCCCAAACTCACAAGAATGTCTGTTTTGCAGGCTAGCATACAGCCGGGGGGGAGGGGGGGTACTACCACCCCAACTTGGGTAGGGGTGTGCCGCCAGGACCTCAAAACCCTGACCCTATCCCAGACCTATTCGCCAGACAAAAATGACCAAATCGTTAACCCTATCCCAGACTAAAATGATACCCTATCCCAGACAAAATGTCAAAAAATGATACCCTACCCCAGACCCAAAAGCCGAAAAACCATACCCTATAGGGCGGCACATACCCGTATAGCAAATATAGGGGAGTTCCCCCCCAAGGGCATACAGGTGGTTAAAGGTATTTTCTTTAGCAGCAAAATAGCTGCAATTAGACAATAAATACATCCATCTATGGTTTTGTTTCACAGATATATGGTATGCACTGTATATGGATATTGAATGGAATTTCCATAGTGTTGGGAGAGTCTGAGGAGATCTTTATTATTTGGGAAGTATGGGTGGRTAGGGGTGAGAGTGCTTATCTCTCACTAAGGCAACCCAAGCTCAATATTGACCTCCTCGGCTTGGGTGTAATGTTGTCCCATTTCAGACCACGTGTCATTCCCTTGAGAATTAGATTCTTTGTTTGAGCTGCATCCATATTCATGTGCCTTCTCATTTGCAACTGAGTGCAACTGTTAAACAAAGAAAGGATACTCTAGAGAATGACACGTGGTCTGAAATGGGAAAAAACATGCCCGAGCCGAGGAGGTCTATCCCAGACCCTCTGAGTTGTATGTGAGTAGCATTGCTTGTTGGTTCTCTCCTGTGAACCAAGGGTTTCCCTCTGTGTCCTCCATTTTTCCTCCCTCAAAAATAAACTTCTTAATTCTAATTGGAATTCAGTGAATCAAGAGCCAATCTGTGGAAATGTCACTGTTAAATTCTATTCATTTAATTTATTCCATTTATGTTTATCTAGTATTTTTTCTTTTATGGAACTTCCAGTAGCATCATCAYCTCATCACCACCACCATCTCTCATCATTGTCATAATTACAATCATTGTTACTTCCGTTWTCATCATCATTTGTCATTATCATCACCCTATTACGCCTAGTTGACTTATCGGGGTTGACACCCAGGGCTCTAAATAGAAAACTTATTTAGCCTGCCATAGTAAAGKRGCATGGTAAAAGGAGGTCATATTAGTAAATTTTGCATGCCATTTTATTATTCATTTGGCAGTGCATCCTTATCTTCACCTGGCAAACCTGAAATTTGGTCTGTCAGGCCGCTATTTACTAATGCCTATCATCATGACTGCATCATGTAGTAACTAATACCCTAATAATAATGTTTATTTAAGGTGAAAACTATWTTAAAAAGGAGAATGAATAATGGGATGGTAGAATACCTTGTCAGTTGGAAAGGTTTTGGGCCTGAAGATAATACWTGGGAGCCYGAGAAAAAYCTTAATGGATGCCGAGCACTCTTAAGGGATTATCTGAGATCCATGAAACCTAAAGACTTTTCACCCAAAACAACGGTAAATATTTTTAGACTACATTTATTCACATGTTTTTTATTTTGATGAAACATAACTTACTTTAATTGCCCTATTTCACTATGACATCACATCAAAACAATCTATTGTTTAAATGTAAAGGATCATGGTCGTTGGAATGGGACAAATCAACGCAAATTCACTGAAAATTGTTCTAAAGCCCGTATCAATCCACAAAGAGAAGTAGAATAGCCAGCAAACGCTCAGAATATTTTTTAGTACATATTAACACATATTATATCTGAAAACCAGGCCATTTTAGATTAAACTGTTTCACTAGGAATAAATTGTGTTGAATTTTCTATTGGATTTGGCGATTCTATCCCCCACATAAACAAGCAGTGAGGTCATAGTGAAATAGGGCAATTTCTAGCCTGTAAATTCTGGAAACATCTATTGAGTTGCTCACCTGACTCTTGTAGAGACGAAGAACTATAAATCTACCTACAACAAATGCAAAAGAGAATGACTTTTTTACAAGAATAAAATCCCCAGGAAGAAAAGCTCAACCAAAAGTTCTCCACATGAAAGAGCCTCCACCACCAAGCCCTCTGGGACCTAAAACAAGTATGTTGCCTTTTTCGTCCGTGTGAATTTCATATTATTACCATTAATGACCGTCAATCTGGACTAAATAGACCAGTTTCAAATTCCAAATTACCGCTGTGTTCCTTGATTACAGACTCATTTGCACAGGGTTAGCCTCCTATCAGTGTTTAAATATTCACAAATACCAACAGAAAAGTAAAGAATGCACAACTTCAACAATACAAACATTTTCAAACTCGACGGACCTTGACTGGAACACGTGAATATTCTGCACAAACTCGAGGCTAACCCTGTGCAAATGAGTCTGTAATCAAGGAACACAGCGGTAATTTGGAATTCAAAAGGGGTCTAATAAAGATTTTATTTATTGTTATCATTATATTATTTAATGGTGTAGTATGTTGATTTTGTTCGATAGTTTCTGTTCTTTGTCAATACGAATTATTGCTTTTTTGCACTCAATGTGTAAAACAAGTGAACAAGCTGTGAGTTGTGTATAGATGTCATTAGAGTTAGTTGAGTATCCTTTGAATTGAGGGTTTTTCAAATCTCATTGATTGGAGTATTGATGTGAGGAGAGTTTGCTAGGTCTTTTTCCCTCAATTTAAGGTTTTTCTCGGCTGGATTTTCTAGCAACTTAACATGCTAAATTCAAATTCAATCTTTTAGTTAGTTGTGCTCTAACTTTGATCAGCYTAGAGGTTGTTTCAGGGTTCAATCTGTGAGTTAGCCATGCCCTGACTTAGATCAGCCCARTGGTTGTTTCAGGGTTCTATCTGTGAGTTAGCCATGCCCTGACTTAGATCATCCCAGAGGTTGTTTCAAGAATCTTGTGGATACATGTGGATACAATTCATCATGTGGATACAATTCAAAGAAATTTTCTCACCAGTGCAATGTCTTTTTCTATGATTCCAGACAAAACAAGGATATTTGAAGAAGAAAAGACAAGCATTCAAGAAGAAAAGCAGAGTGTCACTCGGACAATAACAAGAAAACAAACCAAGGTCCAAAACAGTGAACAACCAGTACAAATCAACAGCAATGGTCTCAGGACATTCGTTTTTCTTGCTCTTTTTCTGTTCTTTGTGATTCTTTTAGCTTTTTTTTTTAAACCAGTAGAAACAAGATAGTTTKATCTTGCTATTTCTTATTTTTAGTAAACCGTTTTTAAAGACTGTGCTTTCATAATTGTGTGATGTCAAAAGGCCAATACTCCATTTTACAGTTTCATTCGGTGACCACCAATAATAGTTCCAAGTCGAGGTTGGAGTTTCAGCTCATAGCAAAGCTATAGTTTATCATGCGCAAAAACTCCAACCTCGGCTTGAGACTATTATTCATGGTCACTGAACAAAACTGAATGGAGTATTTAGATGGTACAACTTTTTCCTGCAATATTGACAGTGGCACATGACAGACTTAGGACATGTTTTAGCCGTTATTTACACACACACATTTCTAATTAGCTTAAAATGGTGTGCAATAGTCCCATTTACAGTTCCCTGCGCCATCTTGAAAGGTAGCYGTGCCTTTGAATCGAAGCGAGACAAATGGTGAGCTAGCAATGATAGAGACATGTGAATAATTGTACAAGGTGTTAAAAAAGATCTCTATCATTGCAAGCTTACCGTTTGTTTTGCTTTGATGCAAAGGCACAGCTACCTTTCAAGATGGTGCAGGGAACTGAGGACTATTCTCTCAGTTTGCTGTTGCATTGTTGTYGTACCATGCAAATTGGCCAAAAACTTCCAGACATTTGGGTTTTTTGCTTTTGTCAATCAAAAAAAAACCTACTCAGACCATTGTATGTTGAATGGACAGTTAGTATTCTAGCCTTAATTCATACATCAAAGTTGTTTTTGTSATGGAAACATTGCTTTAAAATTTTAATAACTGTTGTGTTAAGTCAAGTTTGCATTAGGGATGTGAACAGAAAGTACTGCACAAACACAAGTTGCAAGKGAACAATTGGTTTACTTCCCGAAGGAAAATATAATGCCAGTATGATGGCACTGTGATAACGGCAATGTGATTGTTACTGGTGTGTGGTACTACTTAGCAACTACTTATCAACTTAGTGTTTGTTATAGCTACTAAATTCAGTAACAAATACACCTATTTCAGAAAACGTTGGTGTGAGATCTGAAATCTGAGTCTCATGCTGCAAATTGTAATGTATTCACAGCCGAACAGCATAGTATCATTTTAAATCGGAATATGAAGCATGATCTTTGAATTAGAAATGTGATTTTTTTGTATTTCAGCCGGAAAACATTAAAGCACAGAAATTCTGTTTAGTCTCAGATGCCCATTTTAGATCTTGGAGCGACAATGTTTTTTGAAACAGGCATATATACCTGTGTATATCCTGCATTATATGCAACCATCCATATTACCACTCTTTTCACTGCTTAACGTGCTAATGGAGACAACAGTCGCAACAGGGAAATAGGGCAATACCAAGGGATGACCCAGCCAAAATTTAGGGGGGGGGGGGGGGCTAATTGAGTTTCTTCTGTCAACACAATGGAAAATGATAAAAAAAGCATCTAATTCTTCAGTTTTGTTTTGTTTTGTTTTTCTGCTGAAGGGGGGGCCTTCAGCCCCCCTTGCCTCCCCCTGGATCTGCCCTTGAATACACTGCCACCAATCAGAGAGTATAAGGTTCCAACCAATTTATTTGATTGACGGATCAGTGATCTCGATCAKCAAATAGCAATGAATAGAGTGATAACAATTATTCATGACATCATAGTGGTTTTGCATCATCACTTGACAACAGCCATGTTAGATGGCAGGAACGAACATACAATAGTTTTACAAGTATTTTATTGTTCTTGAATGGTTGTACAAATAGTGGATAGCACTATCCAATGGATAAATCCTTATCCAGTGTATAAGTTGACGCTATTATCCAACAAAATTGTCCACTGGATAAGATTTATCCATCGGTTAGCGCTATCAACACTTCATATAATCCAGCCCTGCAATCTAACCTGGCTGCTGGCACATGATGGTTCTATACCACTATTATTGTTTAATGCTGTATAAATTTCACTATTCTAATTTTTTTAAAGATATCCATTGTATTATTGGTTGTTGTTTCATGGGAGGCTTTAGTTGCGTCTCAGAATCTAAATTGTTGCTGAAGATCAGAGGAGTGCAAACTTATCTCATTTGTTCCAAAATTTGAAATAACTTGGTAACCTAGACCTCATTTTTATCAAGCCATGAATACTCTTTTTTACAGTTCCCTTCTGACAGTGGCCACTGATAATAGTTTCAAGTCGAGGTTAGAGTTACTCAAAACTATAGTTTATCATGGCTGGAAACTCCAACCTTGGCTTGAAACTATTGTTCGTGGTCACTGAACAGAACTGTAAAATGGATTATTAACCCCTGGGCTGGTTTGAGCTGGGGTGAATCCGGGGGTGGTAAAATAGGTGGCTAGTCACCCCTCCCCCTTTTTCTCAAATTTCTCAGTATATCATTAGTAACAGTCATCCCCTTTTCCTTGAGTTCCTGGGAAAACTTGGAAAACCTGGAAAATTCCTGGATTTGCCCCTGCTAAGATAGGCCTAGGCTAACTCACAGATCAATATAGAATATAGTGTTAGCAGTTAATTCCACTCAAAAAAAATTTTTTAGTCTCTTTCRTAGCTGTCATTAATATCCTTCCCAGATCTTCTCAGCTGGGAGCATTACTACTGATGGCTGTGAATGAATTAGACAAATATTATTTTGAAACTATTATGAATAAAGGACCAATCTCATTACAGACAGAACAGTCACCAGGGCATTAAAAGGGGAAGTTTGTTTTTCTACCAATCTTTTTTTTTTTTTTGCATAGTGAGAGAGAGGGGGTTGAAACATCCAACCACCCCCAATACAAAAGCTACTGTCCAGATCCCATTAAAGAAAATGGGATGAACTTCAAGTTTTCCACCTCCCTTCTTCATCTCTCAACCTTTCCCCAAAAAAGTCCCTCTTAGTCACAAAATTCGTGACTTCCGCCTGTAATGATTAGCCTCGTTCACAGGAGGCCGTGACTTCCTCCATCACATGGCGCCAAACAAGGCAATGATTATTTATTCAAGAGCCGTGATAAAAATCCACGGTCGGCGAACTTCACCTCTTGTTTTCGTTGCGTTATAAATCCCAAATACTCGAATCATCAACTATGTGAATATTCCCAGCATCTGCTTGAAAGATAGATACTCTCAGCCAGCTAAAAAGCGGATTTTCTAGAAGAGAAATTTAATGTGATGCCTTAGAGACAAGACTCTGAGAAGATCTGAGACACCAAAAGAAAAGCCGCTAAGTGTGACCGTTTTCACGATACAGCCAGCTGAAATTCTGGATAGCAACTATAGTTGTATAATCAAGACAGTCCGAGATATTGTTCAGTGTCTATGCGTGGGTTATTAGACGTCTTTTAGCGTGGWATTTCTGGGGATATTTTTCTGCTTGAACTCAAATAAAACAAGCATCTTCAAAGGTTAAAGTTGTTGACGCGATATGGACCTTTAGTAACTTATAGAAATACGCAAAAAAACGAGTTGAAATCCTTCTTTAAAGACACTAAACACCCTCCAAATTAAATCAAGGTAAGATTTATCTTTTATTTCTTTGATTTGAAGCAATCTGTAGGGTCAGATTATTATGCCAAGCCGGGAAGGAATTGAAAAGATCGATCGGGAGGTAACTGCGTTGCGTTACATTTCAGTCTTTGAATTTGTAATTTGATGGAAACTCGAATTACGTAGGTTTACGAAGAAAATCTAGGCCCGATGTTCGGTTTTTTAGACATTATAGAACGTAAAGCTTTGCTATTAGCCGAAAATGTCATCTTTATAACATTCTAAGTCATTTAAGCTGATATTTTTGAGGGAAATTCCCATTCTCTTGACGTACTATTTTGACGGCTTTGTTCGTGGAATGTACAAGCAGTGCAATTTACGATTTTCTTGAAGCTTTTTCTCGGACATTTCGATCCAATTTTGTACAAAAATTGATTCTTTTGAACTCAAATATTTGAAGTCTGACGGTTCAGTTGAAGATCTAATTGATAAGATTTAGCAAAAGTGATATTTTTCGTCTGTGAAGTAATCGTGAGCCATGGCATTGTTTACTTTTGTGAAGGAGCAAATGGCGTGAGTTTGAATATGTAAAGAATCACGCTCGATCGGTCGCTTCTCATGGGATTGACAGACAACACCGCTATCATTTTAAAACTACTTCTTCTAGGATACAAATCTCATATCCTGTGAATAAATCCAAATCAATAAACACAAGTAAATCTTAGGAAGATTCGAACAATTTTTTCTCCCGATTGTATTTGACAAAGTGTAACTTGGGTGGATAAATATAACAAAAACAAACTCTTATGTTTTCTTTTCTCATTTATTTAGCTTTTGGTTTACCTTACACTTAGTCTCAAACCAGTTTTTCGTCTTTCTTATCATTTCCTTTACACTGTAACAAAATATTCGTAAAAACTGTATTCTCTTCAATTCAACCCGGCCTAAATAAAACAAATCCTATCAAAATAATTTCAAAAATATATTATTTTCTTTGAAAAAAAATCATTTGAAGAAGCTATTTCTAAAAGCTAGAGATTTTCGGACGTGTTTTGGTATATTTTCTCAAAAGGTTTCTTCAGATTTGAAGATGAGGAAGCGAAACCTAATTTGCATAATTCAAATACCTTTGATAAACAGTGTCACACAACATTATCGGTGTTGTGATGAAATAATTAATATTCGTAATAATCTCTTTTTGTTCAACACAGTACAGTTTTGAACATTTTTCATTTTTGATTTCGATAATATATTTTGATATTTCATTATTTCTAAAAAAACTTCATGAAATTGAAGAAAATTTTCCAATCTTTTTCAACATATTTTTTCTTTAAAATTGAGATTTTCCAGGGGAAAACTGTAATTAAAATTATGAAAATCAGGCTAAAACTAATTTGGCCGGTCATCATGACTTTAGGCTGACAAGCCGTTATTCTTTGCCTTGCTACATAGTCGTGGATAGCATTGGATAAAGAGGCCGTTAACTTAGATTGACAAACTTAAGAAATATAAAATACTCTAAGATACTCTGATCTAAACACGTGGGGTGCTGAAAGAACACGAGAGAAACGCAGGAAATGTGAAGCAGAGTGGTTTCCAGCTTCTCAAGTATTTTCTCAGCGCCCCAAGTGTTTATATCAGAGTAGATCAAGTATCTAAAATGGGAAACATKTCGACATTTTTTTTATAAGATAGCAAGTGCATAAATCAATGAGGAAAAATTTTTTACAAAAGTATAAATTCAGGTAGTGCGTGCAACTAAAATTYGTTACTCATCTAAAATAGCATTTTGACCAATCAGAGGATGGGATAGAACTCAGTTATAATTTTTAGCCTAAAGTATCATTTCAACCAATCAGAGGATGTGATCTAACTCTGTCAGTTATTTCATAATTTTTGATCTAAAATGTCATTTCAACCAATCAGAGGATGGGATCTAACTCAGTTATTTCATAATTTTTTAACCTAAGATGTCATTTCAACCAATCAGAGGATAGGATCTAACTCAGTTATTTCATTAATTTTGACCAATTATAGAGGCATTAGATCGCAATTATTTTATAATCCTTTTTCTTCCCTCTCTCAGAATCAAAGGTAGAAATATGACTATGCACACATGCTTAGTTGCAGGGTATTCAGTGCATAGCAAGTGTGATAAACAGATTYTGGGTTACCTGTGGTTCGTCTAAGTCTTATAATTTTTTCTGTCTTATTACAGATTTTTTGAGACAGTCGTAAAAAAACCCAGAGTACAGTGTGTCAATCAAACAGCTCCAGAATGGCCAGCCCTTTACAAAACAAGACAGGTTAGTACTATAATGGTGTGGACATGCAATGCTACATTGCCTGCAACATTGCATGAGAAAGACGATCTTTTTTGGATGTCAAACACTGTTGCATGCGACGTTAGTACTATTTTGGTGCAGAAACCCATGCAACATTGCCTGCAATATTGCATAAGAAAGACAGTTTTTTGGGGGTGTCATTTTTTCAAATTGTCCTGTAGTTTACGCACTGCACATTGGGAGAGAAGTTGGGCAGAAAATTGCTCCATGTAATTTAGTGCCTTTAGCAAGRCTATTCCAAGGGCGGATCCAGCCAAAATTTTAGGGGGGGAGCTAACTGAGTTTCTTCCGTCAACACAACGGAAAACAATTAAAAAAAAGCATCTAATTCTTCAGTTTTGTTTTGTTTCTTAGCCCCCCTTCCCCCCCCCCCCGGATCCGCCCTTGTATTCTATATGCTTCCCTGTTCTCCTTGTGACCTTTTTTTCAAAGTTTCTTGTTCATTTTTAGTTGAGCAAGAAATCGTAGTTGCCTCTGGAATGATCCCACGCAGCCCAATTGTGTCCAACGGTGGTGGAACAAACCAAGTCCTTCAGACCAAAGGCAAAGAAGACAAGCCTCTTGAACCAGGAGTTACAATGGTCTATACTTCAGCACTGAGCAGTAATTTAAGCCAGCTTGCTGAGCTTGCCGCTAGTCAAGCCCCAAGTCAGACAGGCCAGTTCATCCCTACCAGCCTACAATTCCAGCAACAAGCCAATCCAAATCCAGGTRTTACAGGTGGTGTGAAGTATGTGGTTCCTGGACAAAACGTCCCTCTTCCATTGGGACCCCAACAAACGCAAATACAGAACCAAAATGCACTATTCCCAGCAAACATTCCACCGCCATTTCAGAAGGGATCGATAATTCAGTTAAAGAGTGGGGAACTTAAGAGAGTGGAAGACTTGAAGACAGAAGACTTTATTCACAGCGTTAACCTTTGTCCTGAGGTCAAGCTAGAAACTAGTACTGTGATGACCATCYGTAAGAATGACGAAGTCGGGATGTCGCTAATTGGATTCTCTATCAATAGTACAAAAGTTCAGGTTAGTTCATGGGTTTTTGTATTCCACCATTATRATCATTAATTATCAACACTCATTTATTATTGACTAGCACGAATCATCTTTACCTCTACCATCATTAACACCATCATCCTAATTGTAAAAACCATCATTCCACTGTCATCACCAATAACACTACCATCACCTCCACCACCACCATCATCATCATGACTATCATTCATTACCACCATCAAAATGTGTATCATTCATCATCACCATCATTTATTATTGACTAGCACAAGTCATCTTTACCACTGCCATCATCATCCTTGTCATCACCATCATCCTTGTCATCACCATCATCATCATGACTATCATCATTGTCAGATCATCATCATCCTTTCCATCACAATTTCAATTAGAGTTTAGAGCTTAGAGTTTAAAAACAACTCTACATTTTTCAGGTGACGCTGTCCTGTGCCGTAGAGCATCCTTTTTTYGTGTGCGACAAGGGATGGTCATCGTGTGCGCCTGACAAGTCCCTGCAAACGTTTTCCCTACAGTGTAGCCAATTAGTTGTTGGTGATGTTTGTATATTCCTYTCTCCAAGTGCCACTTCACAAGCTCYGACCCCAGCTGGAAGACCACAGATACCAACTACTACTTTAGYTTCACCMGAGCAAGTACAACAGAGCACACTCGTTAATCAAGCACAACATCAAGTACAAGTGCAAGCCGAGGAGGCTGCAAATGCTGCTGGGGTAATTGTGAATATGCTACCTCAAAAACAAACACAGTCAAATATTGYAGCCRCACCCACGCCGCCMCAGATGTCATCAAATGCTCAGGCTTCCRGTGTAACCATGACAACATCCTCACAGCTGTCGTCAGCTATACCAGCAGGAAGTACTTTAATTTATGATCCCCAGTTTGGCATCCTGCGACCACAGTCTTTCCTAAACCAGCAGATCATTGGGACCACTATCGATGGAAAAACAGTTCCYGTCCAGGGAGGGCTACCTCCATTCTACCAAACCCTCCCAGCATCATTAGTTTCTTCCTTACCTACGCAAACCATGACACAAAGTCCRAGTGTCCCAGCTGCCGTTGGTAATGGATTACTGGTCACTACTGTAGGTATCATACCTGGACAACAAGGTATTAGGATGGCCCAGCCAGGAATGATTTAYGCCAGTCAGCTATCAGAGATGGCACACAAACAGGGACACGAAACTAACGATGGTCAACTTTCAAATATAAGTGTCGAACAAAGACCCGATTCTCAAACAGACGTGGGTCCATCCGAGGCAAAGAGAGCRAAGACCGACGGCCAGTGATGACCAAATTATCCTGTAATTAGTTTCAGTTGGTAGTTATGTTATTATAAATACTATCTTCCTTGTGTGGCGAGGCAAGTATTGTCATGTTAATATTTGTGTACATTACTATTAATGAAGTTGTGAGACAATGAGATTTTATCACGTATTAATTTACAGTCAACTCTYGTTACAGCAGACACCCTTGGGACCGTCACTTCATGTCYGTAATAGTGAGTGTCCGAAATAGCGAAAATTATTTATGGTCATTTCTTTGTCAATATTTTTGTCCAGGATATTTCTCCTGTCTGTAATAGCATAGTGTCCACAATATTGCGGTGTCCGCAAGGCGAGAGTTGACTGTACTAGCATTATTGTCAAAGTGCGACCATCATGAAGTTTCATGTCTYATTTGCCGACTAGCATTTCAATGACTGTCAATCAAAGAACTGAAATCTTAAAAAAACGATCAAACAACAATTAAACAATCTTCAGGGAATGTAGTCTGAATTAAAGCTTTTAATTCTCCAATCCTCTAAATGTTTTTTTTTGTTCTTCGATTAACGGTCATTCAAATGGAACGATGAGACATCAAATTTCTCGTGTCACACTTCAACAATAATACATCTCTGTACTACTTCTTCAAGATTGCATGCAACATTATGTTGAACAACACGATTGTGTTGTCTCGTACAAGTTCACAATTTGTGAGCATATGTGCCATGTTTCCCAGTCAAAAGGAATGAACTAGAATTTGATGTCTAGGACATATTATTACAATGCAACTACTGTAACCAGGGCAAAYTAGACCAGTTAGACAAGAGAACCAATTAAAATGTAGAATGAAAACAATGCATTCCAACTTTGGGTAGTGGAGCCACTCAGAAACCTAGACTGGTAATTTGACCCTGTTACGTGTAAACAAGTTGATAGCCATTGTCAYTTTCTCKTGGGAATAAAAAGATATCTTGAAAGGCTATTGTTTACAGCTRCTTTCTGATTGGCTCAACTACCCAAAGTCGGAATGTATTGTTTTTATTCTACAATTTGATTGGCTCTCACTTTCTAAGTGGCCCTGGTCATAGTACTTGCACTGTAAGGGGAAACATTCGCTCCATGTGTGAACAGATTTTGCATGATTGTGAAAAACTTAGAGATGTCAGGGTGGGTAATACGAGACCCCAAAACTATTGTAAGTAGGTTGTAGATAGCTTATCACTTGCAGGGCTCGAAATGTGGCCTGCCAATGGCCAAATTTCAGGTCTGGCAGGCGAAAATAAGGATGCACTGCCAAATGAATAATAAAATAACATGCAAAATTTACTGGAATGACCTCCTTAGGCAGGCTAAAAGAGTTTTCTATTTCAAGCCCTGCACTTGATCATTGGTACTAAGATATTGTTTTTTATCTTAAAAGTTTTATTATCTCTGTTTTCTGATTGGTTTGCCAGTAGTTCCAAGTGTGTTGATTGGTTCAATTCTCGACAGTTCTGTATTTTTTAGCCATAAAAATTTGGCTCTACCTATAAATTCATTTTCTGCCTCACCCTTCTACTTCTGTACCGGTCCTTAAATTCATGCGTTAGGGTATAGTTGTATTATTATATCAGATATTTAGTCACATACTAGGTTCTGTTGCTCTTTAAAGTGTGTTAAGTATGTTATTCAATTTGTGTGCAACATAATATTCTTTGTTGCAAAGAGTAAAAAAAGCTCATGCTTCATGCAACATAGGTCTGTCATGCAAAATAGGCTAATGTAAGCAATATTTACTCTGCGCCCTTCAAGGCAACACTGTTGCACAATATGCTATACAACTTTACTGACCTTTCCCAAAATCAAAAATAATCAGTCAGAGTACCTTTTATGTTATTGACTGAAAATATCTGGTTTCGCAGAATATTGAAAGCCTCAGTAATAGCTTATATTGTTTTGCACAACCTTTTCTTATTTCTAACCCCCTCCTGATTAGAAAGAATCCTTGACGGCCTCCTTGTTGCTGTCGAGAAGGTTGATACCTCCAAAAAATCTCATTCCCCCCCCTTCCTTCCATACATAATTTGCAGCCAAAAATTTTAAACCGTCATTAATCAATTAATTATTAATGTTCAAACACTATTAATAATAGAGAAGTTAGGTTATGTTAATATTAATAGTGTTATACTATACCCTTGTTATTTATCTAAACATCTTCAAGTTTGGCTTCAGAAAAAATATTTAAAATAGATGTTTTGCAAGATATAGCTCATAGACTCCTAAATTTTAACCATTTTTTAAAAATTTTGTTGTGTATGCTAATCAGTGTTAAAGCCCAATTACATGGTACAATGTTTCCTCGCAACTGCAGCGTGCAACATTCTGGCGACACAAATAGTTTCATGTAAACCTATCTACTAGCTTTAGCTGTTGTATCACAGCACAGAACAATCACAACAGAGCTAGGCTCCAAACTAGGTGAAAGCCCAAAGATCGAATTAGAATTTTAGTAGTTCATTTTTGAGGAGGGAGGAAAATTGGAGAACCCAGAGAAAAACCCTCGAAGCACAGGAGAGAAAGGAAGATAGAACTTGGCCTAAGCATGTTGCACGCAACAGTATGTGGTGAGGAAAAATTTTACCTTGTTAATTAGCCTTCATTACATCTGAGGGACAGACCATTAGATTTTTGAGGGGGGTGGGGATTGGGCAATTTATTTCATGCAGGATTCTATTTTACGCCTCATGGCTGTGCAGGAATTTTTTTGGGACATAATTTGGATTTTTTTCTAGCACTTTTCTTTTGCATGATTTTTTTTCACTTGAATTGTTTTTTGGTTTTTCCCCCCCCCCCCCCCCCCCCCTAAAAAATCTAATGGTCCGTCCCTTATCAGAAAGACATACTGATTGTACATGTACTATAAATCATAGCTGTGATGGTGCTTATCAGAGCATTTGATTGGACATGCAGCTAAGCTTCATGAAAACATCAGGGGAGGGGAGAGAGAGAGGATAAATTGTCAACTCTCACACTAGACTATGCACTGTTAGTAACTTGGGTGTAACGTTTTCCCAGTTTAGACCGTGTCATTTCCTCGAGTATATTTTCATTGATGGTTATACACAATAGGTTGCTATCAATAAATGTCATTTCTGGTCTCATGGAACTTTTTACCAGCTGAATGGCAAGTTTCTGTAGTTATGTACATGGATGATTGCACATGAGGGGCAATTGTTGTCTGTCATTGTAGGCTGGTAAAGAAATTCATGACATTCTTTCAGCTAATTGATAGTACCAAGCAGAAAATAAGCATAAGAAATCTCACGATCTCAAGTACAATTCAGAATTTACAGGTACGAGTGATGTTTTGAATCAAGTTTTCAAAATTGGATGAGATAAAATTGAGCAACTTAATTGGGACTCTACAGAGGACGAATTTGGATTTATTTGCACCCCTCTTGTCCAATCAGAATCGAGTAATTTTGTCAAGTGTATCTTATTCTCAAGAGAATGACACATGGTCTGAAATGAGAAAATGTTACGCCCAGGGTTTAGAGGTCTATATTAACTAGGATGCATGCACAAATTAAAATTCCTTGGTTGATTGTACAGTACTTAAGTCATTAGAGATTTTAACTCATAAAAGAAATATACTGTGTAGTTCCAGCAATTATCCATACCTCCCCCATGGAGGGGGATTGGAATTTCCAAGGGGTGGCGAGGGTCTGAGGAGGGTATATTGTGTAGTTCCAGAAAATATCCATACCCCCCCCCCATGGAGGGATATTAGAATTTCCAAGGGGTGGGGAGGGTCTGAGGAGAGTATATTGTGTAGTACCAATAAATATCCATACCTGCCCCAATAATGGGGATTGGATTTTCCAAGGGGTGGGGAGGGTCTGAGGGCATATTGCTTATTTCCAGAAAATATCCATACCCCACCAAGAAAGTTTTCATAAAGAACCCCCACCCCCTACCCAAAGAAATTCTAATTTTCTTCCATACGAGTAATTGTGTAAAATTGATTTTAACTATTTTTGAAATCCAACTACTATGGCTCTAAATACCATGCAACACTTACTGCGAAGTTCCAGAAATGTGTCAGCTGAACATGTACTAACTGTCAACTAGCATGTGCCGCCATGTCAGGTGGTCGTAATCCACATGATTTCCTATGGTGGGTACTGTATTTAAAACATTTTCATATTTTTTTCCTATTTGTTAACAATACTTAAAAGGTAACACAGCATGCATTAACTTCTTTCTAATCTCTTCTTTGAATCCCGGTAATTATAAAATTATATTGTCATCATTGGAAATATTTTAAATACAGTACCCACCATTGAAAATCATGTGGATTACGACCACCTGACATGGCGGCACATGCTAGTTGACAGTTAGTACATGTTCAGCTGACACTTGACCAACACTTGCATCAGCTAACAACCAGACGAGAAAAGCCCCAAAAAGCATTCACAGTGTCTGCTGATTGTCGGCAGACATGTGTCAGCTGGTCATAACGATATTATGTCTTGATTGACGGAATTAGGCAAGGGTCACATACCTGCCTTTATGGATTTTCCTGGATCTGCACCTGTGTGTTCTGTATGGCATCTCAACTACTCAAGAGGTCTATATTATAATTTATTATTCCATATTTAACTTTAGCATGATGAATGTAGAGCTACCCTGTAGATATGTCATCATTAAACTGTTGTTATTATTATTATTGTTATTATTATTATTAATACTCATTAGAAATTGTTTTATTAGCAGTCCTAAAATGGGTCATTTGCATGATAACATTTGAATGCTTTGCAAATTTTCTTTCTCATTCAATTTTTATATTCCCTCATGAGAATGGTCAAACAATTGGGTGCCAATTAACTGAACAAAAGAAAGTGTGCAAGGGATTCTGGTAGTCGTAGTCAATGACGCCATAATGTGAATGTCCTTTTCCGCTTAGTTACATATGTTTCTATGGCCGAATCAAAGCAGCTTTTGTGATTTCCATCAGTCAATTATTGATTGACAGAACCAAAGACACCCAGACATTTCAAAGGACGCATGAAAATGAAACATCTCTTTGTGGAAATTGTAACATTCTTTTTTTAGGATATTAAAGAATTATTATTAAAAGCTTACATAATCTATTCATTTAAACTAATTGTACAGTAGTGAATCATGTCTACATTTGTCTTTTTCTTGCTTATGTTAGGACTTGAACAGTTAATTAAATCCATTTGACAATACAAATTGTTGTGTTGATATTTCGTTGTGAAATAGTATCTAACTCATGGTGAAGGATGATTGGGATTTTGAATGGTGGGGGGTGGTCTTAGGAGGGTATGTTGTGTAGTTTCAGAAAATATTCATACTTCCAATTATCATCATCATCACCATAATCATCATCAACATAGTAACATTGTTTCAGTCATTGCCATCATCATCATCATAACTGCCATTGTCATCATTATAAGTACCACTGTATCTCATTCATTGTCATCATCATCACCATAATTGTCATCATCCTCACCTTCATTGTCATCATCACCATAAGTACCACTGTATCTAGTTCATTGTCATCATCATCACCGTAATTGTCATCATCATCATCATCACTGTCAACATCATTGTCACCATCTTCACCATCATCATCATAAGTACCACTGTATCTCATTCATCGTCATCATCATTATTGTCATCATTGTCACACCATCATCATAAGTACCACTCTATCTCATTCATTGTCATCATCATTGTTACCGACATCACTACCATCAGCAACATTAAAAGCGACGAGTTTATCAGTAACCCTAAGTTTATCAGAGTTTTAAAATAGTCATTATTATTATTATCAACTTCATCAGTACCACTGTATCACTGTCATCATCATCATCAATGCCAACACAAGCATCATCATCAACATCATGATTTTTATCATTTTCTTGCAGAGGGAGCAACAATGAAAGTACTAAAAAAATGATAGAACATCTGCAGAAAAAAAAGCATTTCCTATTTCAGAATGCTTAGTTAACTTTAAAGAATTATAAGTGATATGCAGCGTCTCAGTTTTAGACCAATTTGCTCACATTAAGTAAGCATATATTTTTGTTTTGTTTATAATGATAGGACAGTGCAAATGAAAATTGCAGCCCAATTGAGATTTGCGCTATACAAATTCAATAAAATATTATTAAATTATTATTACTTTAATTTCAACATCAAAATTTTATTTCAATTCAAACGGAAAAATAAATTAGTTGAACCAACATGACTACACACAAATTGTACATCAAATCTAGTTAAAGGACTGTTCTCAGACTACAATAAATTACCAGTACTTAACAAACTTAAAAACAGCAAGAAGCAAAAATACATTCCTTATGATTTAATATTCATACCAAAAAATACATTGTGTACGATATTATTCATTTGTTTTTCAAAATCATAGTCAATTGTTTAATTATTTATTGCAAGTTACTTTTCCAAGTTTTAATGATCAAAGATATCTGTACCACATATTTTGATTAAATCATTAAAAAATTAATGTTTTAAGATTAGAGTGCAAATAAYATACCCTTGAAATAGTTAGGATGAAATAGGAGATAGTTAGCGCTTAATTAGACAAGACATAGGAATTCAGTGAGGCATGACAAGGGCACGGGCGTTTACTAGAGTGACA